ATGATGAGAGGAAGCACATCATGATTGTTGGCCACAGCTATGTTTTTTGGGCAGCTCAGTAAGCTGTCACGTCCCCATGGGGGAGAAGTCTCGGACTGGGAGCTAGAGCTCTATCGAAGGGAAAAGACACCGTGGGATGCTCTGAGGCCAACTTTGGTGAGCAGCTGCCTTTGGTTAACATCCCCCTGATGTGTTGGCAATACACTTGGGTGGTAACAACCTGACCAGGATTTGTGGAAAGGCCTTGATCCTTGATGCGATTGGTGACTTCACATGGTTGAGGGTTACGTACCCTGCTATGGACATCATATGGCCAATGATCATCCCTTGGCCGGCATGGAGGGATGTGAGGCATTTTTGGCCAGCTGACACTGCACGAAAGAGTGTTAGTAGGGTGGTCTGCAGATTGTTCTGCAGTGGCCTGGATCGGTGATTTGTCACCGGAGGATCCACGGGTAGGCCTGCGTTTTCCAATAGGTGAAGGCACTGTATCATGCTATGAACACTGTTTGGCCAACGACCATCACTCAGCTAGTATGGAGGGATGTGAGGCATTTTTTGGCCTGCTAATGCTTCATGAAGTAGTATTAGCACTGTAGTTTGCAGAGCTGATTGCAGCGGCCTTGCATTGATGATTGGTCACCAGACGATACTCATAGATAGGCCTGGGTTTTTTTTTTTCGGAATGATGGTGTACATCCATCCAAATGAGGTTTGGATGTCTTCCTTGAAGACACCAAGGGGGGCCTGCTGTTGTAGCTTGCTGAGCTTGAAGGCGGGCATGGGACTTGGCTTGGCCAATCCCTGTGCTGTGGCGGGTAGTGTGGATATAACTAGGGTTGCCAGATACATTGGTACCCCCGGGGGCTTGGCAATTTGATGTGATGATGTGGAAAGTGCAGTAAGACTGGCCCTGGCACCAAGGACATGATCAGTATGCTCAGCAGTGAGTATAGAGTTTCATGAGCTTAGGAACTTAGTTGATTTAGAAGCTATGTGGCCAGGACTTATACAGTGTAGGTTATTGGTGCAGGCTTGCTACACTAAAGTTCATGGTATCAGATTTATTATTCAGACTACCACTTTAGGAAAATAATTGAAAGTTGGTCTAAGGAAAGAGGCAGATTTAAAGATTTGAGAGTACCTATATCACCAGGACTATTAGGAAGCACTTGTAAGCAGTGGTACGTTATCTGTAGAGATGATTATGAAGTTGTTTTCTTCAGGGTGGTGTCCTTAATAACTTTTTCGGTGCCCTCAGGATTAATGAAATGGTAACCACTGGAAAGGAAGACAGAACCGGAGTACCTTTACAATGGGAGGCTATTTGGGTAGTCAACGGGATGGTGCAGATTCACATTCATTGATCCAAGGCTGGTTAACGAGGCATCCCCTAACATCTAGGCAGGGGCCTGGTTTGTTTTATCTTGCAGATGCCATAACGATGATGAGAGGAAGCACATCATGATTGTTGGCCACAGCTATGTTTTTTGGGCAGCTCAGTACGCTGCCATGTCCCCATGGGGGAGAAGTCTCGGACTGGGAGCTAGAGCTCTATCAAAGGGAAAAGACACCGTGGGATGCTCTGAGGCCAACTTTGCCAAGTAGCTGCCTTTGGTTAACATCCCTCTGATGTGTTGGCAATACACTTGGGTGGTAACGACCTGACCAGGATCTGTGGAAAGGCCTTGATCCTTGATGCAATTGGTGACTTCACATGGTTGAGGGTTACGCACCCTGCTATGGACATCATATGGTCAATGATCATCCCTTGGCCGGCATGAAGGGATGTGAGGCATTTTGGCCTGCTGACACTGCACAAAAGAGTGTTAGCAGGGTGGTCTGCAGATTGGTCTGCAGTGGCCTGGATCGGTGATTTGTCACTGGAGGATCCACGGATAGGCATGAGTTTTCCAATCAGTGATGGCACCGTACCCTACCATGAGCAGGGTGTGGCCGACGACCATCACTCAGCTAGTATGGAGGGATGTGAGGCATTTTTTGGCCTGCTAATGCTTCATGAAGTAGTATTAGCACTGCAGTCTGCAGAGCTGATTGCAGCGGCCTTGGATTGATGATTGGTCACCAGACGATCCGCATAGATAGGCCTGTTTTTTTTCAGAATGATGGTGTACATCCATCCAAAAGAGGTTTGGATGTCTTCTTTGAAGACACCAAGGGGGCCCTGCTGTTGTAGCTTGCTGAGCTCAAAGGCGGGCATGGGACTTGGCTTGGCTAATCCCTATGCTGTGGCAGGTAGTGTGGGTACAACAGGTTTTGTTGGTGAGCCCCATTGCAAACTCAGGTAAGCTATAGCGCATCTGACCTCTCAGTGCTGCTGATCATGCAGTTACAGTGCTTGGGGGAAAATATGTGCTGGGGCCACACCCGGACCAACAGTCAACATGGAGAAGCTGGCTTGAGGTCTGGGGGGGGGGCAAATTGGGGCCGGCCCGGTTCTCACTGTCT